TTGAAATACCCGGACAGACGAACACACACACACACACAAACATGCACACACACATACATACATACACACACACACAGGCAGGGTCGTCCCAATATGCGTTTTTGCAATTTGCATATAGGCAAAAACGCATAAAAATCTACTTTAAAATCCGAAATCCGTATTGTTGCTGCATTTATCGTTCTTGCTGAAAATTTCGCAAAAACACGTGCTAGTGAATTTCAATCGCTTTTTTCAGGCTGACACTGTTGTTGCCACTTTTAAATGCTTTGGCAAAATGATTGCGAATGAACTTGATTGCGCTGTTGCCTTTACTGCTATTTCTTTTGCTGCAGCCAAGCTTTGGGACAAAGTAAATCCTAATGAAATACTTTGCACTGTTTTTCTCCTTGCTGTTGCTCTCGAGGATGATGCTACTGCTGTATACTTCGAATACCGAATATATATGAATGCGAAAAAGTATTTTTCTTTGTTGTTACTGATATTTTTATTGTTGCGACAAAGTTGATCGTTATGGTTAACGGGTCTGTGATGCCGTTTCTACTGCTACTGCTGTTGCTGCTAAGTTGCCCGCTGCAGTATTTCATTAAGTATCATTGTTAATGCCGCTGATCTCTTTAAATCTTTTATTGCTAAACCAAATTTCTACGGATTTTCTATATCTAAATAAAATTCTTTGCACTGCTTCTGCCCTTCACGCTGCCTTGCCGGTTTTGTTCCTGTCGTCAAACAGCGGCCGGGCACCAATCCACGCAATCCACCCTTTATTCCTGTTTTTGTCGTTAACATTGATTTTGTCATAAGTGTTTTCCATACTGATGCCGGTCCTGCTATCTGCATTAGGTAATACGTCGTAGTAAGTTCGGTTGAACTTTTTTTTGTTGTTTTGGCTTTTGCTGTTGTTTTCAGGGATACTACTGCTCTTTTTACCATCAAACATCAAGTCCGGCCAATTGCGAAAGATCTGTCCTTTTTGGTTGTTGCTCTCCACGTCGGTGTACTTCAGAATATCGTTTGTGGTACTGTTGTTCCACGTGTCGTCAAATTCGCTGATGAAATGAATGCTACTGAAATTCTTTTTATTTCCATCTGTGTTGCTCTTGCTGTTGTTTTTGATGATGTCGTTACTGCTGCTGCCGTCACTGTTGTTGCCATAAACATTGTAAATGGTGTAAAGTATGTGTCCAAGATCCCAACTGGGAATGTTATTACTGCTACTATTATGGCTCGATGGTGCTGATAGAATTGTTACTGCAGCGGCTTTTTGCATTAAAACAGCACAGCAAATGAGAAAAGTGCAGAAGATTACACTCACTGCCATATTTGCGGATTTCTGTGAGTTATATCCTGAAAATAAAAATAAATGGCCAGAGCACCGACTGCCGGTGTAGCAAGCCAGAACGAACAACGGTGCTGATGGTGGGTACAAAGAGGTCTCATTCAAAACTCCAGCTGAAAATGGCAGCCGTTACTAGAATTAATCCGAAATTTTGTAACAGTGCTTTTAAATAGAAGATGCGTTTTTTGCACAATGCCCCGCAGATTTTTGTCGCTGACGGCACTGTTTTTCCTGGCAAATGCTTCTAGCTAAAAGAATTGAGACTGGCCGCCAGGGCTTTCAGGAAACATTCCTTCAAAATTTCAGCTTTCTGGCACTCCTGACTCCCAAATTAGAAACTTGCTCGCAAAAAACTTTCACGAGCCTGTGCATAGAAACCACGCATACCCGGGGATTGGGCTTGAAACCATTAAAACCTAAGTGGACGGGGAACACCCCTTAAAATTCCAGTTTTCTAGCTTCTCAAGTCCCCGAATTAGCAACTTACCCGTCAAAAACTTTGTCGGGCCGCTATGGTAGGAACTGTAAGGCAAGAGCGCACCCGTACGTGCATGTAGATTAAGTTCCCAAAGTTTCAGCTCTATAGCTTGCGTAGGTCTCGAGATGAAAAATCAGTACAGACACACACACACACAGACACACACGCAGACAACCCTTTGTCAATGTGCGTTTTTATTTGCATTGTATAGATGCAAAAAGAAGCATAAAAACCAGGTTTTTACGCTAAATTCTTCAGATTTCAGCCGCTGTTTCATCCAAACACGCGCGTAAACACAGCACAAAAAGATGTTTCATTGCGCACGTAAGTGTGTGCGCATGTACTGCGTGTTCAGAGAAATCAGCAGCAGGATTACAAAACAATAAGTTTTGAATATTTCCGCCGTCATCGATCACACATAGTAACTAAAAGCTTTACTTTTTTCCATGAACTCATACATGACGTCAATTTCGGATTTTGGTTAGTGTTATTCCAGAATAACAAAAAAAAAGTTTTAAGCGCGTTTCAAGCTTCAAGCATTGTTTTTCAATTAACGACGCAAAAAACAAACTGAATCGTCTTTTAAACTTCAATGCCCCTTAATTTCCCAGGTTAACTCTAAATTCCAGCTGATTTTATAAGATTTCAAAAAACTAACTTAACATTTCTGGACTTTAGCTCATTATTCGACATTTGATTAGAAATCAACGATCTGCTATCGAATTTGTCCAAATACGTCAAAATTCGAACACAGTGAAGCATGTTGTGTTTGCTAGGGGCTTTAATAAGCTTGGTAAATGTTTGAATTATCACTACGAAGTACAATTAACTCCTAATTCTGATTTTTCGCCAAAGAACCCTGCAGCAGCGTATAAACGTATAACGCTATCTGTCCTTCGGTGTGCATGGCAAGAAAGGATATCTCAGAAAATCGGTATTGGGCCCTGCGTTAGCAATGTTACTGGATACTTCCTCACACCGAAAACAGCTATACCACATGTTTCGCTTTTAAGGTGCTTGCCTTCATTTAATCCCTATTGCTTTTTTGATATCTGTTTCATCTCTTCAAAGCCATCCTGTCATGTTCTTGCGAGTACCATAAACTAATGAGTCACATTTGTTAGCAGCCAGTGAGGCAAGTGATATCCCCTATCATACGGATTTTACTTCCACGTGTGGCGCAATAAAGTCTTCCGCGCAGCTCAACTGACAGAGAGACTTAGATACTCACAAAAATTTACATGCAGTAAAGGAAAATAAATGCGGAGAATTTTAGTAGGTGTTGGCTTTTATGTAGTAGACAGCTCTCTTTGCACACCTGTGCTAGTTTGCACTTTTAATATACTGAAACCACTCTGTCTGGTGTGTCCAAAAAATAAAATACTTTTGTTCTTGCTTAAAATCTAACTTATTTTCAGGACAAACGGTTTTGTATTAGTTCGCACCGCAAAAACTAAACGCTGACAGCATTTTGAAAATGGGCAAATGTGCATAATCTAGATCCATACTGCCGTTGTTATCATGCGCTTTTGCTGTGCAGTGCTATAATGCTGCAACAGTGAGCAAAAATGCATATTGTCGAGATGTGTGTGTGTGTTCGGGACGACAAAGTTCATTTGTCACCCGCCTTCATCTCAGCAACCAGGAAAGCTGGGAGGCTGGAATTTTGATATTCCCACCCAGTGTGAGACGCTCCGATTTTGAAATCTTCACTCATACGCACCTGAACCTCGCGTGCGGACTCCCAAAAAAAAGTGCAAGTTTTTTTGGCGGGAAAAGATTTCGCGAACTAGGCAAGGCACAGAATTGAAAATTTGCAGGGATATACTCTGTGCATGTGTGAGCTGAAGATTTCAAATCCAGCTGCCGCGCACACTTGTGCAGTGCATGCGACCAAGTCAAAGTTTGCATTTGGCACTGCGCTAACTCAAAAACTAGCTGGAAAACAGCGGCTGAAATTTTGTCAGCATGTTTATCACCCATATGGAAAACCGCATAATTAAAGTGAATTCTGGTTTGCGCTTGCGCCACGACTCGGGACACTTCAAATATTTTTTGTAGCGAAGCAGCTAATTCATTTACCAAATAAGGTGCGAGGCTGAAACTTCGCTGGGATATTTTACTTTCATGTATGGTCTTAATTCTGCTTGGAAGCGAAATTT